ACTACTTACGCCCAATTGATAATGAAGGTTACAAGAATGAACACACACGAAGCTGAACGGAAAGTACGGAACTGTGTTACGGAACGGAGTACGGAAGTTAGAATGTGCGAGACATTTCAGAACCCTTCCAAACCCCCAAACATGTATATTTCAGCACCATCCTCCCAAACATGTATATTTCACAATATTTTAGTCAAATTAGGACCAGCAAATATGTTAGATAAAAACAAAAATAAGTCATGCATTTTCATGACAAAATAGCCTTTTCATCAGTTTCTCATGATTAGCAAGATGAAAAAGGAGCCAAATGGAGGATACACAGAAGTTTCTCCATTTGTTCCAATACGTTGCACGTATATCACACATAAAATCGTCAAAATATGTTGCCTTATCAGAACATTGTCCATCGCCGGCCAAGTGTTGGTGAAGTCCCAGTGTGTGACTCTTTCGCCGTGCATAAACTTATTGTAGAGAAGAAGCTGAAAGAGGTTTCCATTGGCTCCCAAGCCTTCTTGGCACTTCCAGACTTCCATTTGTTGATTTACTCTTTGGAGCAAACCACACGGGATGGCGATTTTGTACTCCATAGAGCGCTGAAACTCTCCTTCTGAAGGAGTTTCCTGCGTATACCTGATCTTTCAAATACCCCCAAAGTAAAGAGTTACTAGATATTAGATTAGATGATCTGGGAGGTCACAACTCTCGTTTAATTGAATCACACTAGATTATTCATGGGTTGTAGAATTATAACGAACGAATGCATGATAAGTACTCTCTGCCGCAAAGAAAATTTTCCACGCAGGCCTAGTTCGAACCATTATGGAAAGAGATGGGAAAGCTATTGCGCATCGTATACGATTTCAGCCAGTGAGGTTGAGACACCAGGGTGAGACAAAACATAAAAGGGAATTTTAATTGCAGCCAGATGCCAAAATTATCATCTTGCACAAGTCATTGAAACAGATATTTGAAGCATTTCTTTTAGATACTGCACTTTGAACACCTTTATTGTTATTTAAATATTGCACTTTGCACATCTTCGTGTTATTTTTGGGTGGTCACCATTGCAAAATGTCCCTTTGTGCCACTTTCAAAATGTTTCTCAACACTACACGCGTTTCATGCAACATGGCTGCCAGCGTCTGGTCTGGCTTTTCGAGGAAAGTGCAAGTGCTGTGGTCACGTGGTTCGAGACGAGAACTGGTGGTACTCACAACGAGTATCGGTGGGCGTGGGTAGCTCACCAATCCCTTTCCACCAAGGTTCGAACGCTCGCAAAACACGGAATTATCTAGATCACCGCTTCTCGACTCTCAGCCAACTGAGAAAAAGCGGAGACCAGACTTCGCAGCTATCGACCGGAACAGCCTCCCCTCGCCGAGGCGCGTGTTTCTTCGTCGAAAAGAAATTGCTTCATCTTCGGCGAAAAACAAATTGTCCTTGAACTTGTAATAGGTGGAACTAAAACTTACAACAGTCAATAGACGGCAACTATGACATTATTTAGATCTCTTTTATGTTATATTACGTCGCATGTCCGTTTACGCGTTTCAAAGCACGCCCAGAAGAGGAACTCTACAACATACTGTACCATAAATTCTCATACTAACTTATCAGCTTCGAACATTGTTGTGAGGCTTGTTGTCTTAATGCACAGTCATCAGCAACAACACCGCTCATAACAAGAATCAAAATGAAACTTACAATCACGCACATTCGTATAATTGTATTATAAGGTGAAACAGTTACAATAACAAATTAAGTAACAACTTGTAACAATCTCTTGGACTGGAACACTCCACAATGTTGCAATAACACTTTACAATGTTGTGAAGCTGTAGTATGTTGTTTCACTTTCGAAATCTGGTAATTACGCTACAATTCATTCTCATTATCCACGTTAACATTATTTTATATTTTCCATTAACAAAAATCTTTGCTATGTTTTCGAATAACTTTCTTCAACTATCTGAGGTGTAAATTGTTTAATGCTTAATTGGTTCTTAATAAACATTTGCCAATCAAAGTAATTGTTTTAAGTACTTTAATGAACGAAAAGAACAATTAACTTCATTGGATATCTCTATTATAGCTCTTGGAAACTCCAAACTTTCTTTCCTTTCCATTTTGAAATTCAGCGCATTTTAACATTTTAACATTTTCAGCGCATTTTAACATTTTTGTAAACTTTCAAGCGCCTAGAAGGCTCTTGTGTTACCAATAACTGTTTATTACAATGGTGAAGGCAGATTGCAAAATGAAATGAAAAATATGCATATGAGGTAGTGCGTAATATGAAACGCGCAACGACACAAGAATGGAAGTGTTACATAACTCGTTTCGAAATTCCGGTCTCGGGTCTTTTGCTGCCTCCGACAAAGTATCTGGCGCTTAACTTACCATCATTATAACGTACATTACTCCATGACGCCAAAACAGGCTGTTTGAAAGTGTGGACTAGAGGGTTGCAATTGTAAATTAAAAATAATCACACGAGACATCGAAATTCCATCCGCGTCTCCGTTGGAAATAAGACACGAGCCGGTACGAAGTCGCACTGTGACATGTAAAAGAATGCAAAACGTCTCCATTGGTAATAAGCTACATAAAAACTAATTAATTTATTAATTATTGTCAGGATTTATTTTCCGTAACGACAATACGTTTCACACGGCACTACATGTCAGCACACCTGATACACTGGCATTGCGAAATGAGCGTAACCAAATTAAGATAGCTGAAACTGAGATCTTGATATCTTAAGAAGAATTTTTTTACTCCACTAAGGTTGCTCGTCATAAATACTAAGTTTTACGACAAATTACACGTCCAGCAGTATAGATTTGACAAAAATTCACGAAATTTTAGCAGTTTTTTTCTTATAAAAAAAAGTCGACTCAAATAGGAATGACGTAAGTTATTGCGTTCGCAGTAATGTTAAAGAGTTAATTCCAACGGGACAACAATCACCTAATAGTACACGATAAAGACGTAAAATTTACCCAATATTACAAGCAAAGAAATATTTACTGAAGGCAATTGCTACAACAAACATTCTGCCGTTTTATTATTTTAACAGTATATGGCTGAAGATGAACAGATTCATTTGGATTTGTTAGTTTTTTTAAAGTTCTTAGAGAGAATTAAATGAAAATTGTACGTGCATGGTTCAAAATTTTATACAATTGACACATAATGCCAGGAAGATTCTAGCACAGAACACGAAAAGTTATTTCCTGTTTAAGGAATCATATTACAATTGTTGTACCACACGTGGAAATCAGTCAGAAATTATTTTCACCCTTTCGAAAGAGAGAGAGAAAAGCAATGTAATAACTGGGTTGGATGTTTTCTAATTTTTTCTACTGATAAAGAGTGATAAATACGATTGTTATGAATAGAGTTTCGTTTGCACAAATTTAAAAATAAAAAATAAAAGATAAAAAAACAAAGTCATCACCAAGATTGTAATTTCTTCTATTTGAACATTTCATATCTACTATATAAATTAATGACATTTAATGTATAATAGTATAAAGTTGTCACTTCTTATATTTTGAGACTGTTAGTTTCATGATAAAATATACTATTATCCTATACTTCAAAAATCAGTTTATGTTATAAAGCTTTCACAAAACTTAATAAAACCACATTTTGATTTAAAAACAATAGCCCAAATTAGCGTATATCTATAATACATTCAGAAATAAAATAAATACAGTACTTAGAACTCCTGATAAATAATACTCATCTAAAATGACACTGTTTTGAACCATGGTCGATTATTAGTTGTTTAAATAATATATTTTTTCTTCTTCTGATATTCATATACCCTTCGCCAATAATATTATTTCATAATAATTTTACATGTCTGCATCATATTACTTTTTAACCTTGACCCATCAAAAGTAGTGATCTGCTCCGACGACAAATTTCCAAACAAAAACAATTTGTCCACAAATAAACGAAATATATTGCACTGAATGGTTCGTCAACAAACCTATTTCTTCCCGGGTATTCAGTTACCATCCACAGGATGTAGGCTTACGAGCTTTTAAGAATTGATTGTTGCATCTCGCGTCTCATTAACCCCCGAAACTAACAGTCTCACCAGTAGTTATTTCAAGACCTGCTAATTCAATTCTATGGTATATGCAAGTCCTATTATGCTATTGTCCAATGCCATTACACAGGTACTACGACAATATTGCCAACGAATTACAAAGATTATATTTTGATATTCTAGTAACATTACATATGACCCATTATAAAATTTAATTTCGGTAATAGAAAAGGGTAGCATCTAGCTATGGTACTAGTGGACAAGTATTATAAAGGCAATGCATTCATCCTCTGTCATTATACAAGACCTACTATAATATTCTTCAAGAACGAAATCGGTGATGGGTAGGTCCTAGGCTAGTATTGGACAAGCATTAAAAAGGAAATACATTGATCTCGTATAATATCATTATACAAGACATTATTATAAAATTCGTCGAGTACGAAAATAATAAAGGACAGTCCCTAAGCTAGTATGGACAAGTATTATCAATGTATTGATCCACTAGTAGCATTATAAACGACCTATTACAACATGCATTTACGAAAATAATCATGGGTAGGTCCTAAGCAAGTATTGGGCATGTATTATAAAGGCAATGTTGATCCTCTAATATCATTATAACTTTCTTATATGGTTCGTTATCATTATACCGACCCATTATGACATCCTTCAAGTACGAAAATAATAATGGGTATGTCCTAAGCTAGTACTATAAAAGCAATGCATTGATCCTCTAATATCATTATAACATTCTCCAGGTACGAAAATAATATAGGATAGGCTCTACGACAGCATTGGACAAGTACCACACAGGACCGGCATCACACACACAGAGGAACACAAGAGGAAGCGAGGGCGTCATGCGAGTGGCGGGCGACGCAGGCGCGGGTGGGCGTGGGCGTGGTGCGCGCGCAGCCCGTCGGGGTCGCCGCACCTGAACGCCTCCGCCTCGGCCTCGGCCTCCGCCTCGAGGCGCTCGCGGTGGTGGGCGCGCACGTGCTGCAGCAGGTAGGCCGCGCGCGTGAATATGGCGCCGCACGCCGGGCACTCGTGCGGCCGCTCGCCCGCCGCCACCCCTGCGCACGCAACCGCGCGCCCCGCTCTTCCTCCTCCTCCTCACCACGCGCGCGCGCGCGCCACACGTTTAATGCCGCCGCGCGCAGTTCCCACTCGGCCCTACACGGGGAAGCGTTGGAAGCTCGAGTGTCCCGCAAGTGTAGTGGATGCCATTTCCCGAGACGTGGCGGTGTTCTTTCTCCGCTGAAACGTGAGATTCGGCGCCCACCGATATCTCGGTGTACAAGAATTTGTATTCCACCCTCCAAGCACCTCGCGTCCCAGCCGGACAATCTCCACTATCCTTCCGACATGTATAGTGCATGTGCGAGTAAATCTGTGCATTTGATGATTCGCGCGTCAAGAGCCTTGGCCATTAGCCCCGTTTTATCGCGAGAGGTGGCGGTGATCTTCCCTCCTAGCTGACTGATGAGATCCTGCGCGGACCCACACGTCGGTTTGAGGTCCCCCCCTCCCAATTCAGGTATCTCCCACCAGCGGGACAAGCGTCGTCTCCCAGCTAGGGCAAGCTTTGTGCTCCCGACTGGTGTCCCGGCATGTAAGTCTGTGGATTGATTGGGTCCGTAAGTCTAGTGCGAGTTTCCTTTTATCGAGGGTGGCGGTGATCTCTCCCCGCTGGATGACGAGACCCGACGCTAGGCTAGCGGTGTTTTCTCCAACCGCATATCTCCCACCAGGGGGCACCGCCCCAGCTGGGACAAGCTCTAAGCTCCCGGTTGCTCTCTCCTCCCCTTACATACCTGGTGTAGGGTATGTAATCAGCGAGCAAAGAGGTACACTAATACCTGTTTCTACTCTACGCGAGCGTGGGAGGTAACTGTTCCCCTGGCTGAGAGCTGACTAAACGTGTGGCGAATCGGTCATTTTCACCCGGAACTTACAGGGTGATTCAGAACAAATGTTGCAAACTTCAAAAGCATGAAGAGGGGATTAAAGATGATAACTTTTGCCAATGAACATGTGATGGGTACGCCACATAACGTAACGTGACGTGACTGACATTTTCGATATTGACCTTCTGATCGGTAGACAACTCATTACATACAACACTCGAGCCGAGAAGACTTTAAATTACGTGTGGAGTACTGCAGGTGGTTTAGCGTCCTACTTGAATACTCCTTAGTTCGCACATTCCTTTCGAATTCAGGCATTTCTAACTAGATGAAATGTTACGTTTAGACCTACGAGAATTCTCTTAACACTCTTAACCAGCCTATATTACCTTCGGATGTCGCCTTTGCTGCATAGCGTCGGATGTGAATAGAAAACAACGGGATAGAGGTCGCTTCTATCTATGGGAAGTAGCTACGGCTACACGCTCATACGGCAGCCGTGCAATAGGGAGAGATTGCTCGGCCTCCGACTGTGTCATATTTGGCACTTCGACATTTTATCTGAGCACTCATACGCAGTTTTCTGCATCTGAAATGCAAGCGCCCACGGTGGAAAATTCAGTGGCCAGACTTTCAGCCGCAGCCCACTCCGACTAGACTAATATTCATTACGGCGTGTCGAAATTATGAAGTCGAGTGTATTCAACATAATGGCTGTCACTTCAAGTAATTTTCGTAGACTAAGTTAAATAAAGACAAAAACAATACGATTGGTAGTGGGTGAGGATTCGTGAAAAAAATCTTCCAACACTATAGCAGGAAGTTTCCTCGCCAATCAACGAGAAACGAATCTTCGTTATACAAAAAATTTCCCACCGCACGTTCATTGGCACAATGTCATCTTCGATTCCTCTAGATCAGGGTGCTTATCGACGGGGAGGAGGCACTTCTCGCATTGCAGGTGGAGGGGAAACGAGTGGTAAAGTAGTTTAGTCTATTGAAATGGAGAGGCATTCGAGCCACTTCA